TTAGGGGACAGGACTAGGAGCAATGACCTCAAGATGCACCAGATGACATTTAGGTTGGAGATTAGGAGGAACTTTTTGACTATGTGGTTGGTTAAGCATTGGAACAAGCTAATTAGACAAGTTTTGGAATCTCCATCCTTGGAAGTTTTCAAGAGCAGGTTAGACTGACACTTGGCTGAGATGGTCTAGTCAGGGATGACCCTACCTTGAGTAGGGGGCTAGACCAGATGACCTTGTGAGGTCCCTTCTAGTCCTACTGTCCTCTGAATTTCCTGCAAACAGGAAAGATGCATCCTTGGGTTTCCTACACCTTTCTGCTTCCTGTTGGCCTGCAGATGCTCTCAGACTTTTTCCCTGTAAATGAGGGTACAGTTGACTTCTGTAAAACAGAAAAACTTTTCAAACTAAATGTGTTTGTCTCGGGGCCAATTCAGTTCTAATTAACCACAGTTAGAGTCAGTTCAGACTAAACATCCATATTTCACTTGTGATAAACTTGTGCTGCTGACTTCTGGAATTTTAAGATGTTGCACATAACATACTCTAGTTTCAAGCAAAACAGCACTGTGTGATAACAGGGACTCAGACACTGGGTTAGAGAAGGAACGCTACTTGAATTTGATTGTTTTTTCATTATATTATATTGTATTGTCATTACATATTTCACAAATGAAAAGAAATGAAGGGGAATTACTTTCTGAATAAAAAACCAAAACATATCTGCTCTTGCACTGTACAAGTCAGATCTCCTAGTTAGAATGGGGTTAGCCTTGTGTGCATGCGTGTTACTGTGTGTTTTAACTAACCCAGTTCTGCATTGTTAGCAGAGTAATTATTCCAGAATAAAATGCGTGCACGGGGAGTTATTCTAGAATAGCGTATTCTGCAACCACCATTCTGGTTTATTTCTCTATGTAAACAAAGGCTTACACAGACATCAACATAAGTAGGACTGAATTTCACAATGAAATCTTTTCACTGTTTCTGAAAATAGACATATCATTTACAAATTACACTCTGGGAAATGAAACAAAAACTGAAGCCAATGTTTTCATAGCAGCAGAAGCTTCAAATTAAATCATTCCTCTCTGGCTACCCAAACCCCTGCTTGTGTTGACTATATATGGTATTCTTTGCTTCCTTCCTAATCAGTAGTGTAATGTTGCCGTGAGCCCTTAAACAGCTGCTGCATCCTACCTCAGAGGCATCTGCATTTTCATGATAGGTGAAGCAATCTTTTTCTCTCTCCCTCCCCATATATATCACTTCTTTATCTCTCAGGAGTGTTGTGAAGCGTAATTATTTAGTAGGTTTGATTCACCCCCACACGTGCACGTGGCAGCAATATGCAGCTAGTAGAGGCTACTGTGACAGAGGAGGGGCTCAGAGCCTATGACACGACAGCCAGCAGACTATCTTCTGTATCCTCTGTGAAATCCAACAGCAGGGAGCAGTTTTTAACTCCTATATGTGGCTTCTAAAAGAGGCACCCATTGAACCAGTCAATTCAATGCAACAACTAATTGCATCCCCTGGATATTCTGGCCATGCCCTTCTCTGAACAACCCCAGCAAGATCTGTGCCCTCCAGCAGAATGACAGTTGCAAGCAGCTTTATACCAGCTGAAGGGCTGGTTGTAGATATTGTCAATAAAACATTCCCAAGCTTTTCAATGCTCAGTTAGTGACCTGCAAACTTCAAGTATGAGGTAATATTTTTTTCCTTTATTTTTTAATATTAGGGGCCAATATTTCCCTTAGCCTAAGTGGATACAACTCTTTTGAGGTTAATGGAGTTATTCAATTTTAGTCCATCACTTAATTTAGCTGTTAGGGCTCAACCAATCATATTTAAAATATTGTTTTAATTAGTGATTTTTCCATATTTATGTCTCCTTTTGGTGTCTTGCAAGTGTTTCTAGTGACCTGAGCTCTAAGGCTCAGGAAAAAAAATCTTATTGTAAGATCAGGGTGACAGAAAAGAAAAATAAATTAAAATGGAAAATATCTGCATGGGTGATTTACAGGTTTGAAATACCACAACCAGTTTTTCTTAAAACTCTAGTACTTACTTCTAATTTTTTTCTGCCATTTCATTTCATTGTACAGATCCTCTGTCTGCTGGAAGAAGTCATTCACTTTGCTCCCTTGTTCATCTCTCTCTGTTGTATTGAGTACACGACTTTTAGATTCTTGAGTGAGGAATTCACAGATATTTGGGACAGGAAAAACTATTTGTTCCATAGTCCTATCATGACGAACAATCTGTGAATACAAATGTGTGTATTGTTCAGGTACAGAGACTTTTCAAACAGTTCATGATTCCCTTATTACTTGGAGCTTCCTTTTAATTACACAGTAATGTATAATTAAGTTCAATAATATGTTAATTACAGTAAAACAGTGGATGAAAATACCTAAACATATAATTTATAGTAAAACTGTGCTTTTGTTCTCAAACACTGCCTAAAAAAAGATTAGTGATATGCCTCAAGGAAAAAAATGGGATCCAAACAGTCTCAAATTCTGTGGATGTTTTAACTTTGAACAAGTAACAAATATGTACATGTAACTACTGAACATTTTAATACAGAATTTCACTTTGTAGTGGGTACCTATTGCTATAATGATGTATATCATGGAGGTGACTACATGCAACCAGCCCCGTTACACATAGCAGCTAAAATTCACAAGAATCGGATACTTATTTAATGAAGCCAAGGCTTTGCTATTATTAGCATTTTGGAACCAACAGAGTTATCTGAGAATGAGATGGATTCTAGTCCACCTCAGTGCATCATCATCAAAATTCTTTCCTGATTCTGTCTGTGGAGTCTGTGTGAAGTAATGGGCAGAAAACCCATCTTGGCTCTTAGATCCCATGTTTGTAGAGCAAGAAGTTAGAAAAAAAAATACTTTCAAACTGAACAAGCTGGATAATGATCAGAAGCAGAATACATCTAGAACTCTGCAATGGGCCCAGGCCTGCTACTGAAACAGTTTACTTTTTAAAAGATTTTTTTTTTTTTACATACTTTTACCTAAAAGATGGGTGACACATATTTGTGTCTGCCTGTTAATACATGTTTTCATACTGTAAATGCTCAAGAAGAGCTGGCCCTTTGAGAGAACTCTAGGGGTGACTAATTTACCTCTAAATCCAAGAGTTGTGGGGGGAGCATGCAACTAGGAACTGGACTGGCTGCTGGGGTGGAATAAAAGGGCAACCTGAGGTTTATCGGGTGAGAGACTTAAAGAAAAAGAAAGTTATGTGAGCTTTTCTACAGACTGAGACCTCTAGGGAGCAGAAAGACGCCAACAGGAGGCCCAGGGTCAGAAATTGCCTTGGTAGTGGGCTCCCCAAAAAAGGCTTTTGGAAACGGCGGGTACTAGGAACCAGGATTGGAAAGGACTTTCTAGGCTCAGCAGAGCCTGGAAGGAATTTAAAAACAGCTGAAGAGGACCGGTTTTAAGTTGATGTTGAATTGTGATTTTTTTTTTTTAAATAAAAACCAGGCCCTGAGAGGTGTTCGACATGTGTGAGCCTATGTACAACCACACCATACTGTGATCACCTTTATTAACCCATTTTGCCTTAGGTGAATAGTCTCCAAAGGACTGCCAGATGAACCTGTTGTATGAATTCCCTTACAACTGCCAGCCTTGAACTACACCCCTTCTTCTATTGCCAAAGGCACAAAATATCTATCAATATGTGGATGTATTTTACAGTATGGAAAGGAGATGATTAACCAGACCAACCTTGCTCTTTTAAACACAACTTTTAAGAACCGCCACACCATTCCAAAAACTTATTTGCATTGCAGCCAAAGTTTTCATGTGATCAGTCAACTTCATTGGCTTTAAAAGTAGGATTTATTTATTTGAGTGATGCTCTATGGAAGGTTATTTTTGTCGCTAAGACACTGCTGCTATTCAGAGTCATTATTTCCTTGACAAAAAATGTTCCGTATCATGCAGGGATGCTACTGTAAAACAATTGTTTGAAATGTAGCAAGCCAATCCAAAAGTATGTGTGGGCCCTTATTTCTCCGCACCACCCAATATCATGTTATTCAGCTTTTTTCCTTTCAGAAATAATCTACACCATTTAAATAAACTTTGTTGTTCAGAAGAAATCTAAAAGGAAACTATAGAAACAGTAGAAAATAAATGTGCCTCAGGCTACAATATTTTCTTTTCAGTGAGCAACCCTTTACCTCAATCTGCGCTGTGTGATTGGCATAGTACTTCAAGGCTTCATCCCCTTCATCTGGATCAGACCCTGGCTTCAGCATCTGCTGTAATGTTTTATTGTGTCGAGCCAACTAGAAAAAGAAAAATATCCAATTTATTTCCTGTTGCTGCATCTTCAGGTTTACCATCTCTGCTTAACACACACATACCCTTGCTCAACTCACTGGGACTCTGCATAGACAATGAGAAAAATGTAATTTGATGAGAACAATATAAATTTAGTGTTATAAAGCCAGGAGCGAGTCTGCAGCTCAGATTTAAGAATGCCAACTTTGCCAGAAGAACAGACATCGTATTGTAGGATTTTGCACAGATATCCAAAAGTTGGGTAAAAGACCTACTCAGTTAAGTTTTTCTGTAAAATCAGCCTACCTCTGTTAGTCTCACTTTTCCAAATTATGTAATTACATTCCGCAAATCTTCATTTCCTCCATGATTTTAAATAAATGAAATATGTTGCAATACGCAGTTGTGTGGGGTGGCTGGCCATGTTTAATAACTGATATATTACTACCCCAGAGCAGGCTGCATTTCAGCATTAGACAAAATTATTCCTATAAAGTGTATAGAATCTATAAAATAATGTATGTCTTGTTTGATATTAAGGGCTTCTTAAATACAAGTGGGTTATTATTGAAACAGTGAAGGAAGGAAATGGAAATACAAGGACACAGGACAACAGCCATCTCTAATTATCATCCTATTGTCTGTGGATATGGTGAGCAAAGGAGTAGATAAGGATGCAAGATGGTAAAGATGTAAGAGATAATGGAGAAGAGTGAGTGAGGGGAGGTTGATATAGGATAACGCAAAGGGGAGACCCCTTACTTTACCAATCTTGACTTTAATCATAGCAAGAAATCAAATCCCAGTCATCTGCAATCTCTGTGATAGGGAGGTGAACCAAAGGCCCCAGAATATAGAATCTTAATAAAGTAGGCCTGGAAGCGATCACTGGAGAACATCTAATCTACATCCCTGCCTGAAGCAAGATCATCCAAACCATCCCGTACAAATCATATCTAACCTATTACTAAAGCTGCCTTTTCAACCCTGTTACATAGCCACAAATCATAGCATCCTAACCTGTCAGGTAAAGCAGAGGGACAGGGGGACAGTGTCCTACTGCTGAAAGGGTTTTTTAAATACATTCAAAAGATCCAAAGGAAAGGGAGCTGGATCCCTTGCTACAGAGGAAGGCAACCCCCACCACCCCAATGTTTTGTATTAATCGAAGGGGTAAAATTCTTTCCTGACCCCAAATATGGAGATCAATCTGATCCTGAGTGGAGGAGCAACACCCTCTTGCCAGGAACTTCCAGGTTCTAGTCCCTGCAAGACCATTAGCACACTTCAGTCAAAATCCTGCAAGACCATTAGCACACCTCAGTCAAAATCCCCAGTTCTAGCTGTAGTCAGGACCCGGTGTTTCTGAGGAAGGTGGAAATCCCCTCCCACCCCCTGCCCTCCCTGCCCAAAATGTAGCAACCGGAAAGGGAAAAAAATTACTTCCCAGCCCTGTGAAGCAACCTGGAAAGCCCAGAAGCATAGTTTCATAGATGTCAGGGTCGGAAGGGACATTTTACATCATTGAGTCTGATCCCCTGTCCTGGGCAGGAATGAGTGCTGGGGTCAGATGACCCCAGCCAGGTATCTGTCCAATCTCCTTTTAAACACCTCCAAGGAAGGGGACAGCACCACCTCCCTTGGAAGTATATTCCATATTTTGGCAACCCTCACTGTGAAAGATGTTTTCCTGATGTCCAGTCTAAATTTGCTCTCCTTCAGTTT